AGAATTTCAGGGATCAAAATTTAGTCATTTGTAATGTGATCATAATTAATATCCCATTTGTTATCTTAAGTGATATAAAGAACTATCCCCCATATAAAAATAATTAATTTGAAATTAATTTACATCAGGTCTACTATGGAACCCAAGAATTATAGTACAAGCAGAAGCATTTTGAAGAAAGAACAAGAGGAGAAAATTGCTCCTTATGTTTTCAAAATAAATGATACCAAGACATTGGAAGATTATCTAAAAAAAGAAAGGATTACTTATGAAATTTACCAAGATGAAAGAAAAATAATAAACATAGGTAATACTTACAAATGGCTTTGGGTCTGAGTATTTTCCTCCCATGCAAGTGCTCTGACAATTCTTTAACTTATATTATTTATGTATTTTTCTATTATTAGTTGAATTAAAATAAAAATAATTTTTTTTTGTCATTTAATTCATTTGTCCGTAAAAAAATTTTTTAATTCCAAGTCATGTGCCTACTAATTTATCATTGGTCCAAATTATTTATAGAAACAATTAATTGTATATAGCAATTATGATCTCTAAATCAATAAAAAAAAAATTTTTTTTAAAATTAACTTTTATGATCTTTTTTTTTTAAAAAAAATGGCAACATACAAAGATATTAAAGAACAATTAGAAAAAGCAGAAGAGAGATTGAAGAAGGCGGAGAAGAATTTAGATGAATTTATGGAAGATGAGAATTTGAATAAGTTTAAAGAAATGTGGGGGATAGAGGATTTAAGGAGCGAAAAAGAGAGGTTGAAGAATAGTAAAGAGAGGTGGGAGAAGCAGGTGAAGGAGTTGCAAAAAGCATTGGCAGGATTTGATAAAAAAGGTAATGAACAAATTGTGTAAAAAAAAAAAATTCTTTTTCATTCATTCCATTTGTTTATTTATTTATTTGAATGATGATTTGGTATACTGTTTATAACATTGACTAACTTATATATTGTTATAACTTTTTACTCATTCACCATTAACCCAATTAATCTTTTCCTCTTTTATTTATGACTTTTTAATAATGTGAATTAACTTGTTATCCTTGCTATAATTTACTTGTTATAACAAGGTAAGTTGTTGCTAACTTGTAAAAATAATATTTTCATACTTTGACTAATTTGTATATTATTTTCATTTTTAATCAACATTGTTTCCTGTTTGTCCTGAATTCATACATTAAATGATCAGGTAAGAATAATTTTTATGACAAATATTTATACTTGGGAAACAAGAAATGACACATGATTCTACATTTCCCTGCTTCCACAACATTACTAGAAGATTATGTCTTTCAATCTTGCAGTGATTCATTTTTTTCACATCTTCCAACAATTGTTGAAAACAACAACTGGCTTGAATTTGCCTACCCTATTCCCTTGACACAACATCAAAAGCTTTACATTCGTTCCAGCTACAAAGTCATTGCTAAGAATGCTTTATCAAAGGCTAACCCAAATCATCGCAAGTATTCCATTATCAGTGGAACCCCTGGAATTGGAAAATCTATGTTTCTCTTTTATATCTTTTGGCAATTGGTGAAGGAAGGAAAGCGTGTGTTATTTGT